AAACACAAAAAGTGATTGCAGCACGTTCACTATTGGGCTATAGCATAAAATTATAGCCCGACAAAAACTTGTAGAATTAATAAAAATGTTAGAAATATAAAGTTCTAAGAACAAATACATTTTGACCATAAAAATATACCATGAGTTGGAAAAAAATTAAAAATAATGAGCAATTAAGACCATAAGACTCATGATACACTTCAAATATGGATATAAGAAACTGTTACTCTGTAACTAAGGTAAATTAAATAATCAAATGATGATAATGACATGTACGTATACACAAATATCATAGAGAAAAATGAATTAGAAAAAGAGAAGCCAAACAAAAAATTGATTAGGAAACTACGTCCAATGTGCTATAAATTAAATCTTTATCGGCAAATAAAGGTATGAAAGAATAATTTTTCTGAAGTGCTACATAAGATATTTTAAATGGGTAATCCTTTTATAAATTGAACATATTTTGACCTTCACCTCTTTGATTCCACTGAAAATTTTTTCCACTTTTTACATTGAAAAATAAGAGATACGTACCTAAAAAATTTTTTTTTTTATCGCCTATTTTAAATTTTATAACTTAAAACACATTTTATAATAGTAATTGGAGACTCATTTTAAACAATGTATAGCTCCAAATCCTTAAGAGCTACAAAATTTTCACCAATAGCTCTTTTTTAGCGAAAGAGTTAAACTTTAAGAAAAAAAATTGAAAAAAAAAAATTGTAGCAAATTAATCTTGTTATGAACAATTCAATTGTTTTAATCTATTTTTAACAATTGTCCTTAAAATAAATCAAGTTTTCATTATAACTATCGTATTCTGCGTAAAATTTTACGAAAAAATATTGATTTCAAAATATGGAGACTTTTCAATTGTTATAGTTAAAATAATAATTTATGTAGTGCGAAATGATAAAAAAAACTGTTTTTTAAGTATAAGATGATATATATACCTCGTATCAAAAAAAGTTAAACGTAAAAGTTGTTGATAATTCAAAGATCTACATTTTTTGTAGTTACTATTTGTCAGTATAACCTTCAAATTTCGTATTATCATGCAAAAAAGCGAGAGATCACCAATTTATCGCTTATCAAGAGTAATTATTAACTTGTAAAACGGAGATGAGCAATAATAACTAAGAAAATGATATTTGATTGAATTAATAAAAACGAGTGATAAAACGCGAAGCAAAGGTGATGATTGCTTAATATTTTTTTGTAGATGTAACTAAACTTTTATGTACAAGTAAAACTTTTTTTACAGTTTCATAACAAAGTTATGTCACTTGAAAATTTTCACAATTTTTTTTTCCTGCAGAGAAAACAGCCTCGCTTATAATTATTGACGAGATAGTGGAACTATGCTATGATATTTTAGGAATCCCTAAATCGTTGTTGCTCTTAAAAATCTCTCTGACACTTTTTTTATTTCTTCGTCGTAACCATTATTTGTAGAATAACGACAAGTAATATTTAGCAGTGATTCTGTGGCCCAATCAAAAATTTCTCGCTGCGTTTCAATGGGACTGTTAATTCTCTGAAGATTTGCTCAGCCAGCTAGTCGTTTTACAGTCTCGCCTATTCCGTTGCATGGCCCTTTTTATGTGAAGTGGGGAAAAAATACCACTCTGCTGCTATTTAAAAGAATTTAAAGTGATGAGTGAGATTAATGAAGTTCTTTTTATTTTTATACTGTCCACTCACACTGTCAGACAAGTATAGTATTTTATCAACACACGGTAAATTTATTTTAATGAATTCAATCAACTGTTTTTGATATTTATGAACGGCGATAGTGTCGTGATGTAGGCATTGGGAAATGTAAACAAAACTTGAAATTTTTAATTCATCCAAGTAATTCCTACAATAAATTAAAAATGGGTGTACGGTTGCCTGATTCTTGTTCAAATGTATACCTTGAACCAAATTTTGAATTATCAAAGCATAATTTTTCTGAGAAATCGCAAATTATGATTCCCTCGTTTTCTCTCAGTTTATTTTTTATCTAGTTTAAGAAATCCCTTTGTGTATTAACCAAAAATTAAAGAATCAACACAATTTGCAAAACTTCACTTAACTTCTGTAAAAATTTATGAACTGGAGTTATTAGGGTCTGCAATGAGGTTCTTTCAAACGTAATCAATTGTTTGTAGGTAACAATTTTAATACATTTTTCTTCAAAAATTTTCTCCAGTTGCTCAATAACAGTCGTCACGCCTAGGCACGCCTTACAAGAATTTAAACAATAGTCATTCGCTTTGTTTTTGCGTACCATACGATCCAAACAATCCTTATAATTGATCAAAGGCAGCTCAGAGCTGGAAGTGAGTGATTTAAAATCAGCACCACTCACTTATAAACAAACATTTTGATGTATAGAACCTACACAAACAGAGTGAGTACCAGAAGCACCTGCCAAAACACAATATTTTGGCCTTAAGCTAGCAAACTTTCAGAAAATACATTTTATATTTGGATACGTACTAGTAAAAATTTCATACGATTCTTTTAAACTATTTAATACTAGTCTTTTTTGAATCGGTAGTGATTTGCTGTCTACTTTTATCAAAACGTAATTTTTTTTTCCAGGCATTTATTAAGTGTAGTCATCAGACTGGTAGAAGCGAAAAATTGTATCGACAACATTATCATCTAGAGATGGATGTTGTTTTGGATTTGGATCCCCAATTAATTCCTTATCTCGAGCAACATCTTTTGCTACGCCTATCATGTGATGAGTTGCAAAAGGAAATGTGTCCTCAATTTTTTTTATAAGACCACGATCAAGAAATAGTCAAAATCTTAATTTTATAAGCGCGGTTCACCGAATTCTTGAAACTTTCTTATAAAGCACTTAGTATCGAGGACTTGTCATCATCTGCTTCAAGATCACCTGGATAATCTCGGCTCAAATTAAACATTTTTTCATCAATTACGGACGACATTTGTTTTGATTTTTCTTCAAAATACCTTTTTAACGATAGATTTTTTTTTTGGCAAAGATCTTAAGAAGCTTAATCCTTTGTTAAAAAAATCCGCTCGTTTACTTTGCAAAAATGGATGACCTCCTGAAAATCCAGATGCACCGTCACTATTCCCTATTTTTATATTAGATTCTGAGTTCTCCTTCTGTAGCGTCTAAAAGAAAAAATTAGACTAAAACATCGACATAAAATATTACGAGAGTTTAGGTATGTCTGAAATCAATATAATAATCAAAATATTGTACGTACCAATTCTGGTAGTTTATTTTCACTCTTTTTCGTATCTTCTTTTTTCACCTTTGATAACTTCAAGTGGCAAGAAGAACAAACTTTTTGTTGTAATGCATCTGACGAAACTGACAAGTCCAGTTTCAAAAGTTGGTTTTTATTTACTGTCCTCAAAACAGAAGTGTTTGTTGTTAGATGCTTAAAATAAAAAGGATTAAGACATCTCTCTGATCTTCTCGATCTTTAAAGTTAAATAATTTCTACTTTGTAATAATGCCACGGAAAAAGGCATGTAAAGTTCAAAACACTTGTTATCCTAGTATTTTGCATTTTACGTGCCTCTTTCCCTGGCATTGTTACAAAGTAAAAATTACTTAACTTTAAATTACAACGAGTGAGAATATTTCTTGGTAGCTGACCAAAATAAATGCACAGCTTATCCAAAAGCCAACTAACTTGTAGTTCGGAGAATGTACGTAAGTAGCGTTGGTAACATTTTGAATCATTGATCGTACTGCAGGCAGGCTTCCCCACGAAATTTCAAAATTCCAAAAAATCGAAGAGATAAAAAAATGTATTTTTTATATGAAAGCAGACAGTTAATAAGACAATAAAAAAAAGGAGCAATAAAAAAAGTTTGAAGAACAAAAACCGTTTACGTGCTGAAGTTACATCGAATTATTTTTTTGTCTAGTGGTTACTAATCTTTTATTTTTTTTTTACTAAAAATTAGTTCTTCATCATTCAGGAGATAAGACTGAAGAACAAATCACTCAAGATTTAATTTCAATGAAAATTTATACTAAATAAATTATAAAATGGCAATTTCTTGCTTTATTGCATAAAATTACAAAATTTTAAGGTCATACTGACAATAGTGACAACAAAAAATGTAGATAATTCAACTATCTACAACTTTTACATTTAATTTCTTTTGATATGAGGTACAGATATCATTTTATCCTCAAAAACCGGTTTTTTTTACCACTACGCGCTACATAAATTAATATTTTACAATTACAATTGAAAAGTCTCCATATTTAGAAAACATAATTTTTACGTTAAATTTTGAGAAACAGTACGATGGTAATAACTAAAACTCCATTCATTTTGAGGACAGTTGTTAAAAATCGATTAAAACAATGAAATCGTTAACAGCAATATTACTTTGTTGATAATTTTTTTGTTCTTAATTTTTTTTCTTAAAACTCAACTTTTTAGCTACATGGGTAAAAATTTTGTAGCTCTTAAGGATTCGGAGCTATACATTGTTTTAAATAAGTCCCTAACCACTATTATGAAAGTTGTTATAACTTATTAAATTGAAAATAGGCTATGAAAGATAAATTTTTTGGACACGTATCTCTTATTTTTTAATATAGAAACTGGAAAAAAATTTCAGCCGAATTGGAGAGGTGACGATTAGTTTTGAGCAAAATCCGTTCGGTTTGTAAAAGAATGAATAAATACAGAAAAAACTGTATGATGACATATCTGAAATTCGACTATAAAGAAAAAGTATGTTATCAAAATAATGAAAAGTATTTGTCAATTTTGTTACTATTTTGTTAACAAAACTTATTTAAAAATTTGGTTCATTTAAAGTAAGAGCAACTTTTTGTACTGTCATAGCATTTTCTATCTCCACTGTAGATGATGCATGAACTGTAAGTTTCAGTACGTAACCTTTTCTGACATAGTGTAAAGTAAGAGTGTCTTAGTTTTTATGTATTTAAAATATATGTAGCATTTAACGTAATTAAAAAATAAGCTGTTACAACAAACCATCGAAATCAAGAGTTCCTGAACCATCAGCGTCAATTTCTTCGATCATTAAGTCCAATTCTTCTGGAGACAATTTATCATCAAGTTCATGCAAAATATCACGAAATACATCGGTTGTTATATAGCCATTTCCTTCTTTGTCATACAATCGAAAAGCCTCTCGAAGTTCTTGCTGCATTGCTTCAGAATCTTCTTCAACTAAAAACCGGGCCAATGTACAAAATTCTTCAAATTCCAATTGTCCTGATCCTTTAAAAAAAAAAAAAAAAAAAAATATGTTTTTTTATATGTCTATACATGATTATAAATGATTACCTTTGATCATAATCATATGGATAAGATATTAAGTTTTATATTATAACTACACTTATCAAGTTATGAATATTAGGCTGCTATATAATCGAAGCCCAAAATGGTTATAGGCAGAGTCCAATGATCATTACATGCACTCATATACATATTTACCTTAACGATTATAAGACATGTTGCTTTTATAGTCAAAACAAAGAAATAAGTAGGCATTGCGGAAGAACAATAAATTGAGCCACAGTTATACAATATATAACATAAACAGTGGGCCACTCAATATAAGATATTCTTCTTTGATACAGTTAGAATATTAAATTTAGGAAAACAGCGAACTTCTGGCCATCGCAGGTGAATACATACTCACGTATTCATACGTATGTATACAGAAGTGGTGAATTATATGTATATATTAAAATGTACATTAACATACGTAATAATTATGTACACGTGCATAAACACATACACTACATATGTAGGTATGAAAAAACATACTTACATTTATGCACTGAATTAATAAGAAAAAATTTAATTAAAGCAGCTCTACCATATAAATTTATTATGATAGTCGTTAGGCTTACTTTAAATTTTGAAATAGTATTTAACTAATGTATACAACTTAAAGAACTTACGTTCTTTTTCCTCTAAAATAAGCATGTACATAGTTGTGGCTAATTGACTTAATAAAGTCAACAAAAACTTATAGTAACAAAAAAAAGAATCTAATGCAGTTTACGTTTGAAGTATTGGCTAGATTTATTATGATTAGTTAATGAAAAAAAGATTTTTTTTTCAGCTACATTTACAATTTTTCAATTTATTATTTCATTTATTTTAAATTTAAATTGTTTGGATTATAAAATCTTAAAAAAAAATACGTATGCCTGACTAAAAAAAAAATGATTTTATTAAGTATATTCCAGGGTTTTTAAAATTTAGAACCTGATACTCATTTATTTTCATGAAAAAAGCAGTTACAAAATGAAAAACCAGTTGACACTAGATACTTGGTTAACCAAGCATAAAGGAATACTCCTATAAAATGATCTGGCAGACAGTATAATCATAATTATAAATGTACTTGCTCTGAAACAGTATTGCGTACGAAGGTGGTGCAATTATATTATTGGAATGACTATACCTGCGTTAGTAGGGTGTGGTTTCAATAAATATTTTTGTTCTCGACAACTAAACTGCTAATGACATAATGCAATATAAACCATATGTTGGCTGGCCAGTATAAGACTGCACTCTCATCGAAACTTCCGTTGACTTTATAACAACTTCCTACTGCCTACTCTGATCTTATCCCTTGCGTTACGCTCATATCGGACACATACTCTCACACACTGATTTCTAGTCCATATTTATTATCCAAAATATAATTTTATCTAAGAGGTTTAGAAAAACAATCATGTAGTACCTCTTTTTTTCATTGAGTCGTATATTGCCAGGTTATGTTCCTTCAAGACGTTGATCACACATAAGTTTTATTCATAGACATTATTTAAACATTAATCCTTAAAAATACAATGAAAAATTAAAAAACAAAATTGCAGATTGTTTAACTGTAGCCTTATTTACATGTTTATTTCTAAAAAAGTTGCAATTTTACTTGTTACCTTATGGAAAAATCATTTGAAATTGCATTTGTATAATTTGAGTGAATTTTCTAATTTTTGATTTTTGTTTATACGATAAAGTAACTTTAAAATAAACCTTGCTAATTTGTTAATAGATTCACAAAATAATGATTTTTTTTTTTGTAACACAAGAAAGAAGGTGTCAAGTATGCACAAAAAAAAGTACGTAAGAACATCTATATAGACGAATTAATTTCTAGCATTACTGTACATATTTAAGCTCCTCTTATACTTCAGAACTTTTCTGACAGTAACTATATTGTGTCCATCCTTAAGTTAACGAATTATGTTAATAACGAAGGAAAAACTGTGAATAAAATTATTGGAATAAAAATTAAGTATTGTGTTTATACGGTAAAAATAATTGTTTTTTTTTAATTTTCGAAAATTTCTCCAAATTTAAGATAGTTGTACCAGCAACTTTTTATTTATAACAAAATTAAAAAAATTAGTAGTCAGAAGACGATTATTTTTTCATGCATGGGAAAGCTACTCTGCTAAAATATTACTGTTCTTATAAGTTTCTGGAAAAAACATTTTACTTAAAAAGTTAGTTTATTAAATAAACTATTTAAATACTAATGAAATTCATAATTAAACCAAATTAATTGAAAAACTATATAGTAATAACATTAAAAATAAGTTATCAAACGCGTCAAAACATGAAATTATCGAATTTCCTATTTTAGATCCGCTCATAGCAGAGGGAGCAACGTCCTGTTTAAGGTATTATGGGCCTAAATTTCACGGAAACTCTTTTTTATACCTTTTTTTTTAAGAGTGAGTTTAAGAAAAAAAAAGTATAAGTATATAAAATTTAAAGTGATGTGTGGTGGTAGCGTTGAGTTCTACGGTGTAGAATGCAGAAGGCACGGGGTGGTATGGCGAGGGAGAGTAACATATAGAACCTACTTTCGTTACAATTTTTCTTAAGGTTACAAATCTAAAATTGTTGATTTACTCTCGGGCATAATGCGTTCAAGGAAGTATAACTTCAAAAATAACATCTATCCACAACAAAAGTCGAGAAAACTCATGACTTAGGAAGATCTGAATTGTTTTTGTCATATTCCATTTCAGTAAATAGTCTTATTAGTATTAAGAAAGTGCCATGTAATCATAATTATATACCAGTCGCAACTTTAATTAAAAGATAAAAATTAAAAAACTGTTACCTCAATATTGCAATTACAAAAAAAATATAATTTATTAGTACTAGATAATTAACATTGACGCCCCCCCTTTCCCACACAATTATTACCTGCCACAACTCTTCTATGACGGACATAATGGTTTTTGCTTTTATTTCTGTACCACATGTTTTAAACTTATATAAACTAAAAGATTACTTATAAATAAACAAAATAATAAATGTGTTAAAAAATTTTCTAAGACCTTCACAAATGTAATATTACTAAAGAAAAATGGTTACCCACAGTTTACTAGAAAAATTTTATGTTCGACGAGCATTATTATAACACTAAAATTGAAGACAACATTTTAATTAATGATTCGATGGTTATTGGTACAGTATATACAGTCATACAGTACACTAAATGTTCAGTAATGTAATAGGAGTGTCACATAAATGTTGAATATTGTTTATTAATACAAAGGATTTCAATCATACATGACAACATTTATATTGACAGTGATAGAGAATTTGTAGGGGTTCAAAGAGTGAGTAATTGTGAAAATAAAATTTTAGACAAAATTCAGAATTATGTTGATGGCAGATGTTTAAACTCATTGGACGCAGCAATAAGATTGAAAAAGTTTTAAATTCCTGGTANTTTGGTAGTAGTAGGAGCAGTAAAGTAATTCGAAAAATTTTACAAACATGTGCCAACTTAGTGAACCTTTTTAGTATGGCAGTACTGTTAATTTGAAGGAAATGAATTATGCCTAACTAACACATGAAACTCCGGATAATACGTTAAAAAATATATTTAAAAAATGAAGAAAAATATGGTCCTGTCTTCTTTTCAAAATGATAGTTCTAATGATTATATTTCAGTGTAACTAATAAAACAAAAAGAAAGAGAAGCAGTCGCACTGTGGAGCAGTTGTGCACACGTATATCTATACATTTTTTTTTTTTAATACTCATCATCGCCCGTAGGCTCAGACGTGGCTTGTTTATATTGACGTATTAAGCCACGTGGTGGTTTAACATCATTTTCATTCATTCGATAATTTTTATTTACGGTAAAGAGGTAAACAGTGGGTTGATACGAGAACGATTCCTACCCTAGGAAAAACTTCCTCAATTTTTTGATAAATTAAGTGATTTCTAAGAGTTAAATAATTCATTTCGGTTTTCATCGCATAATTTAGAAAACTGCGGTGTAGGTTAGTATTGTAAATAATATCATGCCCTTATCCTCATCTTAGCACTCAAATCGAAAACCTTTTTCGAGCAACCATCCGCTAATATCTTTAATTCACCCAATAGTACATCAGAAATTAACGAATTCTAATAAATAGAGGCAGCCCACAACACATAATTAGTATAGGTTATTGTTTGTTTACTTACATGGCTCTCCGTTTGCTGCACTGTCTACTGAGGCGTTATCAGAACTATCATTTTTGTTGCTATCGACGGCGTCAGCTATACGTTCAGAATGCACGAAGATTGGACAAATTCACTAGTCAAGTGTGCCCTATCCCAAGTACCCAGCGTGGGCACCGTAGTGTGGGTGTGCACCTAGCGAAGTGTAGGACCTCGCCAAGTTACGGAATACCACCCCAGGTGTCGCGCGACACGTCATAAGTTTTCATTTGGAACGTTCCCAATGAATAGATGTCGCGCAATGGCCGACAAACGTTGTAGGTATACCTATATATACATGTACAAACATAGGTTTATACAGGTATAAATAGGTATACCTACAACTTTTGTCCGCCGTCGTGCGACACCTTTTCATTGGGAACGTTCTAAATGAAAACTTGGGACGTGTCACGCGACACCTGGGTGTCGCGTCATTTGAAATACGTCCGAGGTCACCCACGGTAAATTAAATGGAAAAGTGGATCTAAGAATAAGCTTTTTAAGACGATAAAATTCAATTAGTTAATTTATTCACCAGCTATTTGTTGCATAAAATAATTTTGAATTTGGTTATGAAGTTATGAACTTTACAAAGCTTCCTATACATTTACAGATTCTTAGTTGCTTTAATTTACTATAGCTAATCAGTTTTGTATAAAACCTCTCCTTATGAACAGCCTTACATCTTACTCTATTTTAGATTTTCCGTAGGCGTACAAATGTTTCTCTGCGCTTTTCTGCGTGTGGATTTCCCCACCCAAATCGAATATGCGTGGGGAGTTTTCCTTCCATCCCCACCCACTCCGCCGCCCCTGCTGCAAATAAAGTTACAATGGTATGTCTTCAAGGGCAAGTATTAAACAAATATACGGATCATAAGTTTTTGTTGTGCATCTTAAATACATCTTAAGGGGGTTCCAGAGGAAGGAGTTAAGAGGTCGGAGGTAGGTTTTTTGATAAACGAAAACTTGCTGATTCCAACAGTGTCATTATTTATCCCCTAGCCATAGAAATTTTCGAGATGTTTGCTCTCGAAGTTTGCAAACTATACACAACCTCTTATGGAACAACGTTAAGGCATCTTTATTTTGTAACCATAATCAAATGAATCAAGGAGTGACATATCAAGACCATGACTGTTTTGTAGAAAAAACTCTCGGCTTTCTGATGGTACCTTACAAAACGTAGGTAACCGTGGAAAAATTCGAAATATTCAATAGAACATTAGTCACAGTCGTTGTTGTCCATTATACAGCTATACCTATATATGATGTCCAGCCCGTAAACAGTAAAGAAAACTAACCTAACCTTGTCTAATTTTCTTTTGACCTTGGTGGTGCATGCTGGAGCCCTCTTAAATACATCTCTAGGATGTTTGTTACGGTCTCTTAAAGAGATCCTCACAAAGATAAAATTATGATACTCAAAAGACATCTTTTGTTTGTTGGGAATGTAACACAATGCGCAATATATTTCTAGGGACAACCTGACAAAGCGCCATTACTAAACATACTTTTCATATACTTTCAAAAGTGTATAAATGTCTACGATTTTTATTCGATACTTAGTAAGAAAAGTATAAACTATCGAAGTATCATCATTTTGAAGTACCGCCAAAAGTATCGATACATAAATGTAAAAGTATCGATACAGTATCGAAGTATCAAGTTGTATCGCCCATCCCTAGAGGAGAGAGAAGAATACGCGTGCGAGTAGTAGCAGGAGACGAGAGTGTCTGCTCTTATCGAGGTACCTTAATAGCGTATTTTATCTTTTATTTTAATTTATGTGTGTATATTTGCGAATCGCTGATAATAAGTGGAAAGTGGATAAGGTAAAAGCATACATCTTGTATTATAAGATAATACCAAAGTGTCGTGTTATGGATATAACTTTAACTTGTGTTGCCTATTGCCATATTGCCTGTGTTTACGTATGTATCACAAATATAACATTTTCATCAATTGCGTGGTACTTACATTCATCAAAATTCCAGAAGAGATTAAAAAGGAGGCATAGCGTTAAACGCTTTCGTAATTGTAAAGAAGTAACCATAAAAATATTATTTTTATGTAGTGCAATTTTGTATAGTCAGGGATATTTTTTCAAAGTAAATGTTATTTCTTATTTATACGAGTCAACAACAAAACTGTTGAAAAACGCATGTATACATTTTCAATGTAATATTACAAAAGTTTAAGAAATGGCAAGCGTAGAAAGGCAAACAAGCGTGTTATAACGTAGACGCTCGCGGTCGATCAGCTGCGGAGTGCGTATATATAGTTATACTAGCTGGACCCTGGCTGAGTGGCTCGTTTTACGTGGGTTTTCGTACGTATGTCTCTCTTCATGGCAAGAGATAATATGACTATAAAAATTTGTATACGATTAAATCAGACAAAAAGTGTTATTTTTTAAGTAATTAATTTAAAACGATAATATCAAGTGATGAATAATGTTTGAGCTAANTGTAAAACAAATAAACATTTTAGAAATGAATTAATTTTTTTAGAGATTTTTAACAAATTATTTTTGTTATAAATAAAAGTAATAGAAGTATTTTCGGATTTCATGACGATACGTCACCCTCTTAAAAATCTAGTACGATTGTACATACTCCGGGCGAGAATTGCAAAGCAGAGTTAGATATAACCACAATTTTGATGAAACTTAGCAATTAGTACATAAACTTGTACATTAAATTTTATAAATGGACTAGTGTAATATAAATAAAACTAGTTCTCGCTCGAAGCATTGCATTAGAAATCTATAGATTCACAATAATTTTCTTATGGAATAACAACTCAAGAATAAAAATTTGAAACTAACTGAAAATTAACTTGAACTATTCTAGACTCAACTGATTAAAAAATACATATGTTTACATATGTTTTAATTTGAACGATTTGCAACAAGCAAACGCAAACAATAATGAGTCTAAACAAACTACCGCTATCAGCAGTTTTTTTAAATAAATTTGAATTTAAAATAAAAATAAAATTATAAATTAAACTGATCCTTGCTATGACTACAACTAGCAATAATCTTTACAAACGGTTAAGTTTTCTTTGGAATGACTAGAACCAGTGATTGATCTCAAAAACGTGAAATAAACCAAATTGAAATTAATTGCTTTACCAAACTTATATTCATGATGTGTCCATCGAACACGGCATTTAAAAGAGACGAAAGAGTTTCTTATTTAACACGTACATGCGCAGGTAATAAAGCTTAAGGGTCGTTGAGATCTGCAGAAAAAGTGCAGATTGATCGTGAATTTAGAATCGCCTTAGTTTCAATGAGGAGAGTTTGAATTTGTTCATAAGTAAGTAGTTGATCCTTCAGGATGCGTCTTCGGTGGTGTTTAAAACTCTATACTGCGGGCTCTCAAAAACCACCAAAGTGGGATGAGAGGGATGGATTGAAATGCCAAACGATGCGTTTGGAAAGAGCGCAATTTTCTATCTCCTTTTCATACTCTGGTGATTGGAGTAGGTCGTAAATTTCTTTCAATTGATTGTTTGCTCCTACAAAATTGGTTTCATTATCTGAATAAATGTGCTCTGGTATTCCTCTACGACTGATAAACCTACGTAAGGCAGTCAGAAAACCCTCCTTAGATAAATCGTGTGCAAGTTTGATGTGAGCTGCTTTGGACTTCACGCATATAAAAACGTATCCATAGACTTTAATAGTCATCCGATTCCAAACCATTTTTCTTTAATAAAGAGAGGTCCAAGGAAGTCCATGCCTTCGTGGCTAAAGGCTGGGGCTTCGGTTACGCAAAATGATGGTAGGTCTGCCATTTGGGCTTGTAAAGGTATGGGTTTGCAGCAAATACATGTCACACAATTTCGAACGATCTTTCTAACCTGATCTTTGCTATTTATAATCCAAAAGCGTTCTCTTGTTAAATATAGGGTGGATTGAATCCCTCCATGCAAATTTGTTAAGTGATACAATCTGATGATTAAATCAGCTACATGATGCTTACTTGAAAGTGAAATCGGGTGTTTTTGATTGTAATTAAGTTGGGAGTTTTTTTATCGACCACCCACAGGCAGGAGTCCGTTGTTATCAATAAACAGATGTAGATTATAAAATCTAGTTGTTTTTCTAAAAGGCACAGTAGCTTGTCCGGGCTCAGAGTCGTGAGCGGTTGATAGCCATTTTATTTCAATAGAAAATCTTTCGTACTGTATAGCTTGAAGAAGACATCACTCTGCTTCTCGCTTCTCACTAACTGTAACAGGTAGTTCTCTGTAAAGCCTTGTCAGCCATCTGAAAATTAAGGCTAAAATCTTAAGAAAACGATCATATGATGAAAATCGACAGCAGATGTCTGATACTGCATCTGTAGTCAGCAGACAGAACCGCCGTTTTAATCCAGGGTCCTCTTGCACAAATATTTCAACGCTTAGTAGCCAGTTCTCCTCTGCACAGGATAGCCAATTTGGTCCTGTAAACCAAGTTTTGTTGTGAAGGAAATCTACAGGAAGTTGTCCTCTGGAGAGCGCATCTGCTGGATTGTCGTCTGTTCGAACATGTCTCCACTCAACTTCGTCTCCTAGAGTTTGAATATCAGTGACCTTATTAGACTCAAAAGCTCTCAATAAATGTGGAGCCTTCTTAATCCAATGCATTGTGATGGTGGAGTTAGACCAGAGGACAATTCGTTTGACCCAACGATCAAATTGGGATCGCATAATCACGTATAATTTTTTAAGTAGAGACGCAATGCATAATTCAAAGCGGGGAATCGTTAAATATTTAAGAGGAGCAACTCGTGATTTGGCACGTGAGCATCACCAGTACGTTGCCTTCTGTGTCTACTAACCTAAAATAAAGACATGCTCCATAACCATGCTACGTTAATACGTTACTACAAATTGAGAGTTTTTCTAAAAGAGGCAACTGCTCTGCTATGATCGTCCATCTGGTGTAAATTTCCTGAGGTAAAGATTCTTCACAAGTCACCTTGCTTTTCAGAGATCCTGTATTAAAATTCTAGCATGCAACGATACAGGGCCAACTAAACCAAGCGGGTCAAAAATTTTTCAGATTTTGGAGACAAGCTAACGTTTGGTACAAGTATCTTTAAAATCAGTTACTTGAACTTTGTATTGAAGTTTGTCTTGATAAGAATCTCAAATGATTCGCAACGTTTTTTGAATAGGATTTTCTTTAACAAGGCAGTCGAACTCAAAGAATTTTTTATCGATATTATTAAGAGCCGCTTCGTGGTTGGACGCTCATTATCGTATGGAAAATTCACCTTGACTCCAGAGCTCGATCACTTCATCTCGTATGTGGATAATCTCATCTAGAGTGTCAGCGCCAAAAATGAGATTATCTGCATATAACTTTCTCAGGAGTATCTTACTAGCGCGTGGAAAATCCAGTGATTCATCGTAAGCGAGCTGCTGAATCGTGCGTATGGCTAAGAATGGCGTGGAGGAAGCGCTGGAGGTCACTGCATTAAGTTCATAGGTTCTGATTTGATTGTCATGGTACCAAAGGACACGTTGATATTTTCTACCATCGGAATGCATAATAATTTGTCTGTACATTTGGGCAATGTCTACGGTGATGACGTAGTTGTGAGCTTGAAATCTGACTACTTGCTCAAAGATTTTATTTCGGATGGTGGAATCTACTAGTAAAACATCGTTAAGTGAAATTTCGCTAAAAGTTTTAGCAGAGGCATCGAAAACTACTCCAAGCTTGGTGATATCGCTAGATAGCTTCATTACGGCGTGGTAAGGGAGATAGTAACCACCGATCGTGTCGTCTGGAAGCGTCATGTGATTCAGATCGATGTTTTCCTGCGTCACCCTTTCGTATTCTACCATGAAATTTTGATCAACTTTGAATCTTTTCTCAAGTGCATAAAAGCGATTCAATGCCTGAAATAGAGATTCTCCTAATTCGAATTTATTACAACGAAAGGGTAGCCACACAATATATCGACCTAAAGGATCTCCATGGGTGGTTTCAACGTAATGTTTTTCAGAAGCAATTTCATTGCGAGATTTTAAGGGTTCACTATCTATCTTTTCTCCTAGCCAAAATTTTCCCATGATAGTATCTAACTTATTTACATTGCAGGAAGCAACTCTGGGGATTCATATTTTATCCGATCCTCCTGCAACTATTCAACCTAAACAAGTCCTTTGTATTATTATACGTATCCCGTCATGACTGCGATTAAACTGCCCTACATCTAACACTCATAATGTTACTCCAGAAGCTAATAAAACATCAAGTGACTGAGGAACATAAAATCTGGAATCGGCTAATTGTATATTGGTTGGAAGATCATACAACTCACGGAGAAAAGTCTCATCTGGCACGAAGTTAGTGATCTTTAGAACGACTAAAAATTCTAATTCTCTTTTAAATTTTCTGTAATGAGATTAAAATTTTACTTTAATGCATTTGTTAAAAATTGTAGATAAACTTTAAATAGCTCCTATTAAGACTGAACAGTCGGTAGTGGGTAATTTTAGTAATCTGGTTAAATCAGTGGTAATGAGATTAACTGTGAAACAAGAGTCTAATAACGCTCTTGCCGAGATGATACAACCCCTGTGATCCATAACCTAAATAAAGGCTGTTGACATGAGTTGTGTGTGAAGTTAGTGGGTTGACGATGTCAGTGAATAGTAATCCAGTCATGACTTTGGGGGCTTGAATGCCTCCTGTTTATCACCTTGAAAGATGCATGAGTGGTGGACTTTCCGTTTGAAGTTTCGTCAGTATGCAACAGCGTATGGTGATTTTTTTCGCATTTCTTGCAACGACCCTGATGCCTTGATGCCTTGTTAATGCTAGGGCATGGTAGCCTTTGTGCGCAGTGGAAGCTGTAAAATTGTAAGGGCTGCGACGAGGTCACCAGCTTACGTTGATCTCGTTACCGAGCGTAAATGGAGTTACTCTTGCAGCAATTATATTGAGCCGTAAATCATAAATTTTCACAGGGCTAGTTTCCAGAGCCCGTCGACCTTGGTTAAATTAACAACAATGCAACTCTTGAATTTGTATTGAACAATAAAGATTTATTCAAAGAGTCAACCAAAACTAAATATTTACAAGAGTAGTTCAAGGTTATCACTTGCGAAGAAATACGTGGAGCGATGACAATGTATAACTCGCGATAATTAAATTGAATTTGATTCGTGAAGAAAATTATAACGACGGCTTACCAAATGAGGCGTCGTGCTAAAGAGCGAGAAGTGTTGACGAAAGGTGTTGAGGAATAGCCCCCTTTGCAGCTAAACCGTAACAATGTAGTTTGACGGAAGAAGCCCAAGACGGCGCACAGTGGGCTAAAAGTGATTTTGTCGTTTCAAAAAGTAATATCTCAAGAAGGGAAACAGCCAGACCAATGATTTTTTTCTATTTTGTAGGTAATTGAATGCAGAATATGAAAAAAATATAGACAATGAGATTAGATGATTTTCTAACCTTCAAAAATAGCCCTAAACTTGGAATTTTTACATACAAAAATAGTAAAACTATCTAAGGGAACCGAAAAAATAATCGCCAAGTGTGTTAAAGTAATTTTTACAGTACCTGAATACACAAGCAAATAATTTACGTACTTAAGAGCGTTCGCCGTTACCTAACATAACCTCAAAAATCGTTTGAAGATTGAAAAATCGAATTTTCTCATGGATATGCTTATAAGTATTGAATTAAAACTGATAAAGGTATAAATATTTTTCAGATATGAACCTACGCGAATGTGCAACATACTAAAAATGCGTAACATTAGGCGTGATGATAGCTAACCTCAAAATATTTAGTACTCTTACATATTTGTCAATACATTGTGTACGAAAAAAACATTCATATAATAATTCTAGTGATTTCGATGTATTTTTTCTCGCTGAATCCGAATATGCAAGTAATTTTGAAAAATTAATTGTTTATCAACAATTTTTATAAACTAATTAGTAACAAATTTATTATTTTTGCGAAACAAATATTTTAACGGATTTTCTGGCACATTCTAAGCAAAAAAAGGTCTCTTGGGATTTTTTCGCGAACCCCCAAGTTTTCGAGTAAAAAAATTACAAATTTCGGGAAACACTTTGATTGGTTCAAAGCATTCGAAAGGTTTATTACCTCATTTTTAACTCAAGAACTTGAGAGGTTTGCAAAAAACCACAAGAGACTTTTTTTGCTTAAAATAAGCCAAAGAATCTGATACAATTTTTGTTTTGCAAAAATAATTAATTTGTTGCTAATTTGTTTGTGAAAATTGTCAATTAACAACTAATTTTGCAACACAACTTTCGTATTCAGATTGGCAACAAGTACTGCATACCCAGCCTGCTCACCTTTTAAACAAATAAGTTAAAAAATTAAATCCTAGACTGGACTAACCCAAAGGAAGTTAAACCCACGTACTCTGCTCGCTCTATTTTTTTATAAATAAATAAAGAAATAAGTAAATTCTACGCAGGATTAACCCAAAATCTTTCAAATCCACGTATCCTGCTCTCTCTCTTTTTTGTTTCTAAATAAATAAATACTACGAAGGAACTAACCCAAAGGCTTTTAAATCCACGTACCCTGCTCTGACTTTTTTATAAATGAATAAATATGTAAATAAATAAGTGCTTGGCAAGATTAATACAATGGCACGTTAACCTACGTACCCTGCTCACTC